GCGCAGAAAAAACCCCGGGGGGGGGGGAACTGGGGGGGGGGGGGGGGGGGGGGGCCCCCCCGCCGCTCTGCTGCGTGTGAGTCCCGGGCTCGTGGAGCAGAACCTCTGGTCCCGTGGAGTACAGAGTCCTGCCCCCCCCGGGGAGCGGGGGCCGGAGGTTCCCGGCGGGGGGGGGGGGGGCCGCCGCCGCAGCCGTGACTGGGTGTAAGGGCTCTGGGAAGCGGAGAGCCGTGGGCCGGATGAGTTCATCACCAGAACTGCCGCCGTGGCCGCTGGCCTCCTTCCCGACCAGAGACTCGATGGTGAAGCATTTCTTGTTGCTGTTGCTGCTGCTGTGCTGGAACATTGTCATAAAGTTGTGTGTATGTGTGTGTTTTTGTGTGTACGGGGAGCAGGTGATCAGTATCCAGTTTGGTCCATGCACGGGTGCTGGCTCAGAGTCCCGGGGTCCTGCAGGGACGCATGACTGCGTCTGTGCGTAAAATCCGGATACAGAAGCAGAGGCACCTGAAGCGGTGCAGGGCGCTCTCACCTGTGACCGCTGTCCGTTCACTTCTTCTACTATTCCTTCAGCTTCTCCTTTCTGCGCTTCAGTTGCGTAAAGTGACAGCGGGCAAATCTCGGAGCTGCAACCGGGTCTGTTGCGCAGAACTGCGGGCCGTGGGTCTGGAACTAGGCGGTGTCTCCGTGCGCCTGCTGCCTCACCATGCTCTACAGTGAGCTGAGGAGTGATCAGTGAGTGTATCTGATACCTGCCCTGCCCACAGACTGAGGTGCGCTGAGCATGCGTACCACCGTTTTATGAGTTCCACTACCTCTTTCTCCCTCCTCCACTGCCTCCTCCTCTTTCTCCTCCATCCCCGACAGCCATTTTGTTGATTGATGACGGTAGTAAGGAAGAGGTGCGTCACAGGTTTAACACAAACTTAAAGGATGAGGAACATGATGATGATATTGAACGTATTGATGATGGTGAAGAAAATGATGATGATTATGATTAATATCTATTTACTGCTATTTACAGTTATGACAGTTAAAATAGTAAAACTTTCAACCATCCGTGGACAGATAATTATAACCAGATTTTATCTTATCTATGGTTGACAACTGTCAGACCAATCAGAACCCAATGTTTTTTCCAAGTGATAAAGATTCAAGAGCCTTTCCGAAGAAAAGATTTTGAAACATAAGCCCATCCATCCATCCATTTTCATCCGCTTATCCGTTACCGGGTCACGGGGGCAGCAGTCGCCACCCAAATCACATTGCACCGTACCAACCCGACCTAAACCTTCCTGCGGGTGGTGAGTCCACTGGAAGGTACCAACCTCCCTAACCAGGATTCAAACTTGCCCAGGAGGTGAACCCTGGGGTTCTACACCAATGACAGGGACATTGCCTCTGAAGGCTCTAAAGCGCCACTGAAACATAAACAACTATTTGAATTCACTACAGTGACAAACTGTCACTGCAGCATTACAGCATAACCTTTGACCTCATGGTCAACTGCCTTGCTCTCTGACAACTGATATTTATTCTCTCTCTCTCTCTCTCTCTCTCTCGCTCTTTCAAACAAACACACACACACACACACACAGAATTGTCTTCAGTCACATTTCACACACAATGTATCATAAACATTTTTTCAATTATTCATTTTATGATGTTATTTTATTCATTAATTCAATCCTTAATCCGACTAAAGTTTCATTTAAACCCTCAAGCACAAGGACACAAACAGTTCAACAAACCACTAAATGAGACTCCTCAAGAAACACAAAGAGTTAACCTCACTGCCATAACACAGAGATAACAGATAAAATGAGAACCACCCCAGACTTAAAGCCAAGAAATACTCAAATAATGGGACAAACTGAGTCAAAGTCAGAGACAAGAAAACAGTCAAAAATTATAGGTTTAACAAAAACAAACATTTAAATGTTCTTTAAAAAAAGTTTCTGCGCCTTGTTAATGGCGGCCTTATATTTCTTTGTCTTCTTCTCTGTCATACATGTCTTATGTCCTTGTTTGTCTCCCTCAGTTTAGACCTGTCTATTGCAGTCGTGTCCAGCAGCAGCAGCAGGTTTTGGGACCTTTTGGGACAAACACCAATTCAGAGCCACTAATTATGGCCCCGGGATTTTGCACAAAGGCCCCCTGCCTGTTCAGTGAATACCTTGTCCCACCGGGGGCCTGTGTGAACGGTGGCACCCCTCACCCCCTTATGGTCTCCTCATCCTGAACTCCCCTACTGCCCTGCCACCGCCCCCTCCACCTGTTAATTAACAGGCCTCAGTGGCAGATCTGGATCAGTGTCTGGACTTTAGCATGCACTCGTTTAGCCTGTGGCACTCCGAGGGCGGCACTGAGGACGGATGAAGGAGCGACAGTCATTGTGGAGGTAACGTGTGGTGATTGTGTTGCAGCCTGGAGCCGACTCACTGCTGCTAAGCCCTCTTGAAAGTGAAGGGGGCGCCGCCTCTCATTAGTGGCCAATAAACAACAACAACAAGAGGATGATATTAACAGGAAATGAAGGTACATTTCTACTTTACGAGTTTAATCTCTACCTGTGAAGCCAAATGATGCTGGTCTTGAATAGTCAGGGACAAAGTTGGTCAGTGGACCAGTGAGGAGCCCAGTCAGTTTTATTTGATTACTTCTTGATGATGTCCTGTATACCAAATATTCTGATATATATCTTGTTCTCAGTTGGGCAGCTGTTACATTGAAACATTCTATAAGAACTGTTTGTCCATCAAAACAAATGGTCTTGACAAAACTCAAGTCATTTGTCTGATAAACCAGTTGATCATTCAACTTATTTGGCCCCAGCGTGGAATAAACAAAAGCAATATAGTGCTTCAGAAACAGCTGTTGAACTCAACATTTGTCTGTTTACTTGACTCTTTT